CCAGAGCGCTCCTGCCCCCGGGGGGGTCGCGGCTGAGCCAACATCCACCCCCTCTCCAGCTCGCACAGACACTCCCCACGGGCCCGTCCCTCAGCTGGGGAAAAGGCAACAGCTTTCCTAGAGCGCTGCTTTTAAGAAAGCCAGGCTTAAGACCTTACAGAGCTTAACAATCCCCTGCCCAGCGGCGCTGGAGATTTGGGAGAAAGCGGTGAGTTAACAGCATTAATAGCCTTGTTTCAAAACGAAGCAGAGACCACTCCATAAATCAATGTGCGGCTGAAGAGTTTTCCAGGGTAGAGATTGGTTATTGGAAGAAATTGGAAGAGATAAACAGCACACGAGTGCTAATTAGAGACACCTCCCTGCTGGCTGGCAAAGCTTTTCGCCTCCAGCATCGCTGGGCCACCAGGGGAGCAGCGGTGGCCGCAGCACCTTTCCTGGACGCGGGATGGGGTCTTTGCAGAAAAGATGCCCAAGGTGTGGGGAAGCCGCTTCCTTCGGCTGAAAAACTGCCCGGCACAGCCAGGGCAGACGATGATTTCTGTTTGGAAGGGGAAAGGATCCCAGCAAACCTTCTGTCCAGTAGCAGGGTTTCCCGACAGAAACACCAAGGCGCAGCTCCTCAGCTGGCACGGGTGGGCAGGGATGGGTTGGCTGGCGGCGCAGGCTGCCAGCTGCTGGCAAACCCGTGCTCACCGCAGAGCCATGCGGACTTGTAGATGATGAGGATCTGGCCCAGGAGATAAAGAGGCCACAGTCCTGAAGGAGCCCAGCTGGAGAAGCAGCAATTGAGGGGCCCCGCTGTGCTCGCCGCTGGCACCATCACACTCCCGTGCTGGGACAGTCCCCACCCCAGCGTGCGCGCCGCCGGCCGAGAGCCACCGAATCCTTGCCTGACACTTTTGTCACACCACCGGGTACCGCCGGGCTTGTCCCACCAAAGCCACCGCAAGAGCAAGCCTAGGACGGGAGAGCCATGGCCCTCGCCCAGCAAACCGCAGCCAAATCCCAGCGGTTTCAAGCCCGGACACAGCCCCGTCTAAGCCAGCGGACGACGCGCAGGACCAGAGCCACAGCTCCAAGCCAGCCCAGGCCACCAACGCCGCTGGGGAGGCAGCAGGGACCAGCCCCTTCACCCCAAGGGGGGGATCTCCACCCCATGCCCCATGCTACCAAAACCTTGCCATGCAAACCCACTACAGCCCCTCTGCCCAGAAACGCTTCTCGAAGGCGACGCAAGCCATTTGACTTGCTTGGCAGCCCACCAAGGGTGGTAGTTTTCCACCTCCTGTGTGGACCAGAGATCTTTTGGAGTATGTCATCTGCATGGGCTGGGCTGCTAATATTTTGGAGCCCTAAGCTAGGAGTTACACCTACGTTCGTTTTTATTTTTGCTTTAGATGTCTTCTCTGGTCCAATTATAGATTAATCACATTTTATCTAGCATCCGTTTCTCCCCCGCCTCCTTCCCCACCCCCATCAGAGAAGGAAAGAGAGAAACAAATGTGTTATTAATTGGCTGCTGTTTTCTGCTGGGTTCTTATCTGTGCACGTGAAACTGGGGAGGCTGGGGAAGGTGGCTGAACAGCCTGCCAGCAGAAAGCAGGGCATTTTAAGCCCGATTTTCCGAGAAAACAAAGCTCCTGTGATGACATTATCTGAGCATGTGCTTGCCTGCCTGCATCCAACAGCTTTTCAAAGCCATTAACTGATAACAGCACGGCCTCAAAACCCAAAGTTCCTACAGGGCTGTGAAACCAGGCGGCTTTTGGAAGCCCAGAGAAAAGTTGTGAGGTGCTGGGGAAGACGCTGCTCCTCAGGCGCCAGGGGATCCACAGGCGAGAGGCAATCCATAGGCGAGGGCCACGGGTCCAGGGAAAACGCAAGCCCATAGGAAACCCTGGTGCTGTCCCACCTGCTCTGCCAGGGGAAGACCAGTAACCCTGGAAGAGGACGAGGACAGCCCCGTGCTGCCTCATGCCCGGCAAGGTGAAAATTTGGAAGTGGGGAGGGAATTATTAGGAAAGCCCAGAAGGAGAAACCTGTAGGACCTGAAGCAAGGATGGGAAAGGAAGGAGGGCTGCGCTACAGTCCCCCCCAAATTCACATGCCCACACGCTTTCCGACCAGGGCAGCGGAGACACCTGATGTCCAGCTGAACACCAGCTTCCATCTCGCTCTTGATGCTGATAAAGCTGAAACCTTTTGCCAGCTGGAGCACAAGCGCAACAGATTTTTTGGTAGCGTTTATACAGTGTTTGTAGCTGACTGATCCAAGACAGGACGGGCTGGGATGATTCAACTTTGGCTGCGCAGCAGAAACAGTAATTTAACGAGCAGCCAACAGCATCTCAGCAACCTCTGCTAGCCTCAAAAATCATCTCTCATACCCCCGTACTTGCGCTGGAGAGATTCCTACCTGCCTTGTGGCCATTTAACCTCCTGCCACCGTGAGCCAGCACAACCCAGTCCCTTCCCAGCAAGACCAAGACTTGCGAAGGCAGCGGAGAGTCCCAGGAAGACCCCGTGTCCACACCACCGCTCCCCAGACAGGCGTCCGTCCCTGCGGGGCCCACGCCTGCTCTCGGGGCAGGGTGGGGGGCAGCAGGGAGGATGTCTGCTGCCCAGGCCATGGCGAGATGCTCCGGGGTCCCACCAGCTGAAACCAGTCACCTCCCTCCCTGTCCCCCCCCGGGTTGCTCTGGTGCTACACCAAAAAAACCCAGAAGGACCAAGGGAGGCAGAACACTGTTTCTGGCTATTTTCTCATGCTAACAGCCCATCACCTTCTCACGGTCTTTCCCTCACCTGCGACTCTGCCACATACCATGGGCACACAGCCCATTTGCATTTTCTTTTTTTTGCCCTGCGCTTGCAGAGCAGCGAGCCTTTCCGCACCTCCTTCTGCCCTCCCCGCCCTTCCTTTTGCCAACATCCAGGAAGACCCTTAGAGGACAACCACAGAACAGCCACTGGATTCAACACTGCTGCTTTTAAGGATAAGGTCCCTTTCTGCAGTCCTCTCCCTTCCACGGCCTCAGCGGATGAACCAGTAAAGCTCTGCAAACTGCTGGAGCACACGGAAGATCCCATCTCCGTTTCCAGCCCTTCCCCACGGCCACCCAGGAAACCCTCTGCCGAGAAAGGGCTGCTGTGCCTCCCTGGGAGCAACACGGGGCCGTGGCTCTGCCCGCCCTCCTCGCCCCGAGGACGATGCTCCTGCATCCCCAGGGCGTGGGCGTGAGGCAGGACTGCTCCGGGCACAGAGGGGTCAGCTCCAAAGCCGACCCCCCCAAAACCTCTGGGTCAGGAGCTGCTGCTCCACCCCGGGCACCAGAGGCTCAAGCCATTTGCTCTCCAGCGCATCCTGAGCACAGGGAACCGCGCTCCAGCAAGCGACGGGTGTACTTACCATCTCGCGGCGTCGGCGGCGTCTGAGTGAAATAACTGTTGGGCTTGTCTGCAAAGAAACAAAAAACACAGGGCTATCAGCAGTTCCTTCTTGCGCGCTCTCCCCTCCTCCCCCCAGACCTCCGTCCACAGCTCCCCAGCAGCTTTTGGGCCAGCGTTTCGTTCCTTCAGCACACGTGCCCTGCACAAGCAGGCACCGACTCCCAGGGAACATCCGAGTGGTCCTGCAGCAAGAAGGGAGCAGCAGGAAGAGGCGCCAGGAGCCCCAGCTCTCCCACTTGGATCGATGGAGCATCTCTGGCTTGGGATCTGGCAGCAGCCCTCTCCTGCCTGCAGGCTGGGGCTTGCCTCAGCCCCTCGCGTGCCATTTCAGCAGGGCTGCGATGCAAACCGCGCCGCATATCAGCTCTCACACGTGCATCCACCTGGGCACTGACTCCCCAGGTCGTTTGGCTTGAGCGGGACAGCAGCAGGGAACGCTGCAGCCTCCAAGGCAAGAAGGCAAAGGTGGGGGAGAAGGGGGCAAGAGAAGGTGACAGCTCCCATGGATGTGACCGCAGGTCCCAGAGCCTCGCCACCAGCCAGACCTTTACGTTTGCTAAACCCCTGATTAAACAGGGGGGTGTTTAGAGTTCCACTCAGGCAATTAGCTCCACAGACCCTGCCATCCTGAGTGGGCAACACCCTAAAGCCGGTGTCAAACTGTGCTCTGCTCTCTACTAAGTGATGTGCCCAGGGCGGCAAAGCCAGGCAGTGGCAGAGGGCACACCACTCCTTACCAGCCAGGCTCCTGCCCTACCATCACCTGGACCCTGCTCCCGCCAGCACTTTTTAAAAGCATTTGTGAGTTTTACAGGTTTATACAGCTTTTTTCCAACCACGTACACGCCAGGGGAAGCAGCGCATCCCCAAAGCTAGGCTGGAGGATTTGCCTGCCCTCTAAAGGTTTTTCCCACAGCGGGTATTTGGCACTTCCCAGCATCAGGGAGGTCAGAGACACCGCTGCATGATGGAGTCCTCCTCCATAGGCTGTGCCTAGAGAAAGCCAGGCCTTGGAGGGTGAGCACCTGCGCAAGGATGAGGCAACAGAGCACAGCACCGAGAGCAGCCGGCAATACGTGGATCTAACCCCACCCAGGCGTACGATCTGCTCAGCCAGGCCAGGGATCAAGATCAACAGCCTAACAGCAGGGAAAACTCCTCCGTCTTGCCTCAACCCTCTGCTGATTCTTCAGAGAGCGTAAAGAGAGCAGGGGTCCTGGAGCAGCCTAGGAGACACATCTCCCACCCGCCGTGTACAGTGACAGGGCCCCAAGGCTTCAGCGGTTTGTAACAAGGGAGCAGCAGAAGCCCCTGGCCAGGGCAGGACTGACAGGAGCCCACCTTTTGCCCCTCACTCCCCAAACAGCTCTGCGAGATCCCCGCCTCGTAAACAGACCCACTGCATCCCCCCCAGGAGCATCACCCACACTCAAGCAGGTCAGGAGACACGGTATTTCTGCGGTGGGGCAGGGGGGGAACGGGACACGGGAGGCGGAGGGTGCTGGCACAGCTGAGAGCATGAGCACGCCGTGCAGGGTGGGGAGCTGGGGCTGGCCCACGCACGCCCGCCTTCGCAGCTCCGCTCCGCAGTTCTGGGCCAACAGAGGCGAGCGAGGGCCCCCCGGCCACAGGGCGAACCCCGGCCAGCAGCATCGGGAGGGCTGCCCCCACCCCAGAGCCCCCCGGCTGACCGAACTCCTGCCTCTCCCCCCCCTCCTGCTCCTCCCACACGCCCGGGGACACCTACAGTTGTTGAGGAAGAGCAGCACTGCAAATCCCAGCGTCGAGGTGGCCAGGAGGATGAGGCAGATGTTGCAAGGGATCATGAAATACCGCACCACCAAGGAGACCTTGTGCTGGTACATCCGGTCCCGCTCCAAAGCCCCCGGTGCCATGGGGTACTGGCAAGCCGTCATGCTCGGCTGTCACGCTGCGGGCCAAAGCTCAACCCGCCGCCGACCCATCCAAGGCAGAGTAGCAACAAGGCTCACATGGATCCCTCTTCCCCCCTCCCTGGTCGTCTTCGGCAGCCGCAGGACCTAAGTTTTCCCAGAGGTTCCCATCCTCTGCTCGCAGGAGGGCAGGGCGGGCCAGGGCACCTTCAGGAGCAAAAGTTTGTCCCTGCATCTGCCATCTCGGAGGCACAGCCTAAGGGGTCAGGTCCGAGCCTGCTCCAGAGGGCCACCCAAAGTCCTGCACTCAGCAATCTCTCTTCCAGCCAGCAGAAAGCAAACTGAACAACCCCAGGCAAAAGTGCCGAGAGCTCAAGTTCTGCTGCCGAGCCCGCCAGGACGGGGACAAGCTGCTACCAGCATGGGAATAGCACCAGCGCCAGCACGTTCCGGCTCCCGAGAGCAGGGCTGGGACAGAGACGGCGCGAGAGGTGCCGGCACGGGATGCCTTCGCTCAGGCTCGCAGCCTTGGCAGCATCCGTAGCCTCTTGGGGGGGC